TTGTTCTTTCCCCATTTATAGGATGCAGATAACAATTCCTCGTAAGGGTATAGTGAGGTAAGCACAGGGAATGCTGCACAGTTCCTGGAATATGGGAGTAGGAAAACGCCCTTGGATTGAGGTTGTTCCATGAAGAGGTTGGGTTTTAAATTTAAAGTATTTTTCATCTGGTTTTGAGAGACCCAGCTGCATCACAGAGGGTTGGAATATCCAAATCTGGGGGTTTCTGTGTGTTAAAGCCCACTAAAAAAGCAGCTTCCACACTATTGTCTCCCTTAATCCAGCAACATGATGGTAATTTGTATGCAATTCTATTAGGGAAATCAGATTACCAATCTTTTGTGGAGAGCTATTTATACCACTTGATGTTACTTTAATTACATTCTGATCTCACAACGTTTAGCATTTTGTGCTCGAGCACCAAATTTTCAAATTAGAGCAACTTCAAGCAGCATTTTCAGGAATATCTAGAGCCCCTTGGAGCCCAAATTCACAGATAAGATATTTTTATCCACCAGGGTATTTTCAGAACCGTTTTGCTCCGTGGATGTTTTGTTCATCACTGGTGTCCTGTGCCCACTGCTGCCACTGCTGCTGGGAGGGAAAGGATTTGCTGGGCTGGCTCAGGGGTGACAGAAATAGTGGAGCCCTTGTTCAGCAGCAACCTCACACCTGAGCTGTGGCTGCCAGGGCTGCCCCCGCTGGGATTACAAAGGGAGTTTTATCTGGGACACTGGGAGAGGAATATTTTATAGGGTGTTAATACACCCCCAGGCTTGACTGGTCAATTCTCAGCCCTTATTTCTGTGTTGTCACTCCCTTGTGACCTTCTGAAATGCTTGTTGCTTACTTAGACTTGTATAAAATATAATAATCACGCTTTAAAAGTGTATTAATTAATTATAAAGTATTCCTGGTACTCAAAAATTGTGGGTGCTGACTGCACATTAAACTGGATATACTTTCATACACTTCAATAGAAAAAAAAAGCTGTAGAAATCCCGTTTTTAAACTCAAAATTATAGCCTAAATTTCTTACATTTTAAATTTGGCAGAGCTATCAGAGTTCACAGATTCCCACCTCTGGGGCTGGAATTGCTGCTGTAATGATCAGTGCTGAATGTGGGAGCCCAAAAATTCAGCTGAGCCGCTTGGCAAGGCTGTGGTAGAAAATTGTGACCAATGAAGGTGAATCCTTCATCAAGGTAACAATAAAATACCAATTGAATCAGAGTAAATAACGTGGATAAATGGATAATTTATGTGGATAATTGTCCTGCTCACCTGGACTGCTCAGCTGGTTAAAATCTCCCTGCTGCCTCTGTAGCCTGTATTTTATTCCAGCAGTGCCCTCTGCTGAGAGCATGGAATGTGTGTCCCCAGAGCTTTTTTCCTCCCTCCAGCTCTCAGGTATTTTCAATCTAAGTTCTCAAAAACCATTTGCATTTAAAAAGATGGAGAAAGAAAAGCTACACTGGTGTTGGTACTGGTTTAATTAATGAGCAAGCCACATGAAATAAACAAAATATCCTGTAAGAAAGGCATGGAAGTGGGGCTGGCTGGGTTTTAGCTGTGTTATCATGGAAGAATTAAGTAGGAAAAGGCATTTTCTGGGCTGTTGGGTCCAGGCTGGAGACACAGCACTGATGTTTATTTCAGCTCCCACAGTCCTCCAAACCCACAAAACTCCGCTCCTCCTTTCCTGGCTCTCTAGTCCTTTATGATCTACTTAATTTGTGAGTTAAATTGATTCACTTCACTCCATTTTGAGAACATCCCTGAAGAATTTTAAGCTGCAGGCGTCACCACCCATCTGCCCAAGCCCTGGGCAGGTTTTGCTCTTGTCAAAGGTTGCTTCCAGCAGCTCATCCGTGTGGGAAATGTGTTCTGCAGTTTGGGCTATCCTAGCAACTCCCAGGGATCGGCACAGCCCCCAGCTGGCAACCCAAATATTTAAAAACACGCCTGGTTAAAGTTTAACCCCCGTGACGATGATGATGTGGCAGCAGGAGCTGCGTGTCAGGAGAGGATCCGCGCCCGGGGATCGAGGCGGGAGCTCCTGAGGAGAATGGGATGAGCAGAGCCGGCCCAAAGGAGCAGCTCCCACCATGAATGGGTTCCCAAACTGCTCTGCCAACCACACCAAGATCTGGAGTCACTACTTGGTGCTGGCCCTGGGCATCCCCCAGCTGACCATCAACGTCGTCTCCATCATCTTCAACTGCACCGTCATCTTCACCCGCCTGGCCACCAGGGACCTGCACAAGCCCATCTCCATCCTCTTCTGCAACCTGGCTATATCTGACCTCTTCACCAGCTTCTCTGGCTTCTGGATTTCCATGCTGTTCATCACCAACCCCGACATCACCATCTTTGGCTCCCAGGAAATGCTGGCTCCCTACTCCCTGTACACCACGTCCATCCTGTCCACCATCTACAACCTGGTGAGCATCGGCATCGAGCGCTACCTGGCCGTGGCCGAGAGCATGAGGACGAGGTTCAGGGTGGCCAGGAACCACTCCATCGCCGTGGTCTTCATCAACTGGGTCCTGGCTTTCTTCCTGGGCTGCCTGCCCCTGATGGGCTGGAACTGCCTGCACGCGGAGAGCAACGTCTCGGTGCTCTACAGCCCCTTCTGCGTCAACTACCTCGTCTTCATCGCCATGCCCAACGTGGCCGTGGCCTTCCTCGTGCCCCTCTTCACCTACCTGAGGATCATCATCATCCTGAGGAAGAGGAAGCTGAGGATGCAGGCGTGTGGCCAAGCCACGGACACCTACAAGTCGGCAGAGACGCAGGTGGCCAGGACGAGCATCTCCATCTGGCTGCTGGCCCTGGTGTCCTACGCGCCGTTCCTGGCCGGCGTCATCTTCGACGCGGCCAACCAGCGCTGCCACAGCGAGCTGTACCCCGGGGTGTACATCTTCAGGAACTGCACGGCCATGCTGATCACCATCACCTGCCTGGGCAACCCTGTGCTCTACACGCTGAAGCTCAGGGCGCTGGGGGCCCGGCTGAAGGCGCTGCGCGGCCTCTGGGCCTCCCGCGTGCGGGCCTGCGCCATCGGCCACGTCTGAGCGGGCCCACCCGCCGTCCCGGGGTGACCTTGTGGTGCTTGTGTCCCCAGCTGTGTGCTCTGTTCATGCTGGTGTTCTGTTCTGGGCCTTCAAGGCCGGCTCTGGCAGCGAAGGTGGGGAGAAGGAGAAGCACGGAGTTTGTTATCAGGGACTCCTCTGAAAGCAGCACCGCACGTTCTGCGCTGGGCTGGGCCGTGAGGGCCGTGAGGAGCAGAGCAGAGCGCTCCTTTGCTTTTGAGTTAGTTTAGCTAGCTGAGGCAGACTTTTCCCTGGACTGGTTTTTTTTCCTTTCCCTTTTCTGGGAACTGTTGGAAGCTGCTCCGGACTGGGAGCTGGAGCACCGAGAGCTTGCACCTTGCGGCCACAGGGCCTGCTCTGGGCAGCAGCCATCCCCAGTGCTGAGGGACTGATACCAGAGACCCCCACACGAGAGACTTTCTGAATTTGTCATCTCTAAAGAGCAGCCACTGAGTTTTGTCATCTGGTATTGTTCATTTTGTGTGTGCTGGGAGGTGCTTGGCCTGTTAAATAAACAGGTTTTTTCCACTTCTCTCTGAGGAAACCCTTCCCGAGCCGGCTGTGGGGAGGGGCCGTGTGGGTTTGCTTTCTGGGGGGGCCCTTTTGGAGGTTTTCCCCTGAATTTCCCCCAAACCAGGACACTGAGCAGACACTGAGGGCCCAAACCCCACAGCGGGCTGCCAAAACCCCGTGGGGATGAGGCCCTGCAGGGCCTGGTGGGATCTCAGGGGCCTGGTGGGATCTCAGAGCTCCTTCCCAGCCTCGGCAGCGCCGTGGGTCCCTCATGGGGAACAAATGGGGGATAGACCCTCCCAGCAGTGTCCTCAGGTCCTTCATGAGGAACAAATGGGGGATGGAGTCCCCCGGCAGTGTCCTGGGTCCCTCATGAGGAACAAATGGGACATGGAGCCCCCAGAAGTGTCCTGGGTCCCTCACGGGGAAAAAATGGGGGATGGACCCTCCCAGCAGTGTTCCCAGGTGGGGCATGGAGCCCCCAGCAGTGTCCTGGGTTCTTTGTGAGGAACAAATCGGGGATGGAGTCCCCCAGAAGTGTCCTGGGTCCCTCATGGGGAAAAAATGGGGGATGGACCATCCCAGCAGTGTCCCCATGTGGGGCATGGAGCCCCCAGCAGTGTCCTGGGTCCTTTGTGAGGAACAAATCGGGGATAGAGCCCCCCAGCAGTGTCCTGGGTACTTTGTGAGGAACAAATGGGACATGGAGCCCCCAGCAGTGTCCCCGGGTCCCTGCTGGGGAGCAGAAGCTCCGTTCCAGTGGGGGAAGGACTCTCCCAGCAATGTCCCTGCTTCTTGGAATTCCAGGCTCTCTCTTGCTCTAAGGTCAGGGCGAATAAAACTCAGGAGGCTTCTTTACAAGCCTGGACTGGATAGATTTTGTGGCACCAGCTCATGCTTCTGGTTCTGCACTGCTCAGCTGCTGCTCTGTGGTTTTTCATCAGCGCACAGCAATAAAATTCCATGGAAATCCACACGGTGATGATGTTCTCACACTCATCACACACAATCCCACCCACCTGGAGCTTTCAGGGACTTCTTTCCAGTTCCTTTGTTATTGTTTCCTCATCTTTATATCTATCTATATTTCTCTCTAACTCTCTATATTTCTCTATTTTATTTTTTAATTTTTTATATATTTTTTCTATTTCTATATTTTATATATGCCAGTATCTATACCTCTACCCCAATCTCGATATACACACCTCTCTCTCCACTCCTCCTTCTTCCCCCGCACACAGCGCTCTCTCGGTATATATCTATGTCCATATATCTCTCTACATTTATTTATTTATAGAAATATCTCTGAAAATCTCCACAAAACGCCCTGGCTACGGCTGCGCTCGGCGGTGGATTAAACACGCCTGGCTGGCGGCGCTCGATTGGCAGCCCTGGCCGGTAGAGCGGAAGCGGAAGCGGCGGCCATGCGGGCACCGGGACCGTGCGCGGAGTGCGGGGCGGGGGCCGCGGCCCGGTACCGCTGTCCGCGCTGTGGAACTGCTTAGTGAGCGAGGGAAGGGCTGGGGGGAGCGGGGGGCGCGGGCTGAGGGTGCGGCCGGCAGTACCGGGCTCGTTTCTCACGCCGTTCTCCCCGCAGCTGCTCCGTGCCGTGCTGCCGGACCCACCGCGGTGAGTGCGGGCCGGGAGGGACCGGGGCGGACCGGGGCTGACCGGGGCTAACGCGGCTCTGCCCGCAGAGCGCTGCGCGCCCGGTGCCCGGCGGGAGAAGGAGAAGGAGGCGGCCGGGCAGGGATCACCCCCGGCCCCCGCAGCCAGCCCCGGGGCCCCGGAGGACATCCTGAGCGAGGAGGAGGAGCAGGACCGCGTCCCGCCGCAGAAACTGCAGCTCCTGGGTAATAAATCCACAAACCCTGCACGGAGGTGGGGAATGAATGGGATGGGATTGGGTCTGGGAAATATGAAATGGATGGGATGGGATTGGGTCTGGGAAATATGAAATGAATGGGATGGGATTTGGTCTGGGAAATATGAAATGGAGGGATGGGATTGGGTTTGGGAAATATGAAATGAATACTGGAGGTGTTATGTCGGAAAGTTATGCTGTGTTAATCTCCTTTAAGTTATGCTGTGTTAATCTCCTCTGAGCAGTGTGGTAAATACAGTTTTTAGGCTATAGCACAATATTGAAATAGAAACCATGCGATGTAAAATACTTTTTGTAACCAGCCTAAAGAATGGCAAAGATAATCAAGAAATTCTTTGCGTTGTCCTCTCTGGATGGAGACAACAAAAACACCGAGATGGCAAAAGAAGAATTCTTGCTTCCTTATCAAGAAGGCCCAGACTTTGAGGAACCCAGAAAATTGATTTACAAGATGGGGGGGAAGCTGAAATTGAGCAGAAACACCCTGGTGTGAAAGGAATGTTTGAAATCTGAATATGCAACAAGCTGTTGCTTTAAGGGTTAATCCTTTGTTAGCACGGGCTGCTGTGGGGCAGAGTGGGACATCTGTAATTCTTTGGTTTTTATTGTCCTAACTTTGATTGTCCAGATTCTTGTTGTCCAGATTCTTACTGTCCAAATTCTTACTGTCCAAATTCTTACTGTCCAAATTCTTGTTGTCCAAATTCTTGTTGTCCAAATTCTTGTTGTCCAAATTCTTACTGTCCTAGTTTTTATTCTCCTAATTTTCATTACTCTTTCCATTACTCTTAAACCTCTGAAATGTTAACCCAGGTTTCCCAGCTTGCTGCTCTTTCCCCGAGAGCTCCGGCAGTTCCCGTGTCCCTGGGCGGCTTTGCTGGCCCAGGCCCGGCTGTAACTTTGGTTTTTTCTCCCTCCCTGCTCCAGGGGAATCGGCGGAGCTGCGGGATCTGCTGCGGAACCCGCACCTGCGGCAGCTGCTGCTGGCCCTGGAGCAGGCTCGGGACAAAAGCTCCCTCCTGCGGCGGCTGATGCAGGAGCCGCTGTTCGTGGAGTTTGCCGACTGCTGCCTGGGCATTGTGGAGCCTCCCGAGGAGAAGGAGAACGTCCTCCCCGAGTGAGCTGCTGGGGCAGTGGGGCTTGGCTAATTTGGCCTTGAGATTTTTGTTCTGTGAGCTTTGCCAGAGCTGCTCTTGGCCACTGTGCCCGTGGGTGTCAGTGCTCTGAGCTGACAGGGGCAGGGCTGTGCTGGGACTCGTTTTTACATCCTTACCTGCACGGAAATTTGGGATTCAAGTGGGGGGTTGAACTAGACACTCTGTGGATTTCTTTCTGTTGGCACAGAAATGCTGGCAGCCACAGGAAATGTTGCTTCACAGTGACAATATTAAATATATTTGCATTTATTTTAATCCGCGAGGACTCTGACATGTTTTTGTTCACTAAAGGTTGTTGGGAATGGTCAGACATTGACAAGGCATTGAGCAGTTTATTTAAATGATGTACACAGAGCAGCTGAACATTTTCAAGATCCACGAGCAACCAAGGGAGGGTTCAGAGCACTCCTGGTGAGCCCCTGGGCAGGGTGGTGCTGTCTGGGGAGCTCTGCACACACCTGGCAGCTGTGGGAGCTCACAGATTTTGGTTCTGTAGATAAAAGCAAGAGCCCAGCCTTGCTTTTCCCTGAGACATCTGCCCCTAGTGCTGCAGCTGGCTGCTCCTCTCCCCCTGGGGACACTCGTGGTCAGTCAGGAGGGTTGCAGGAATCAGGAATATTTATTGGCATTATCTGCAGTGCCAGCAGCATTCAGTTCAAGTATTCATTGCTTCAAGCACCTGATCTGTTGGAATTGATTTGTTCCCATAGTGTTGATATTTCCTGTAACGTGGGGGGGAGCAGGAGCTGTCCCCACCCCCAGTAAATGGAATTTAATGTTATTATAATGTGCATGATAAGGGGTATCCCATTCCCTCACGTTGGACGTACAAGGCAGCGCTGTGGAAGCTCTGAGGTAGCAGCAGAAGTGGACATTGAGTGATTTGGAAGCAGCAGCTTGCAGAGAGCCCTCCTGGAGGCCAAGGCCAGGGGCAGAGCTATGTGGGCAGCAGTTCCTGTCTGTCCAGCAGGATCTGGTTGAATCCCGTGATGGAAAACGCCTCCGAGTGGGGGCTGACGTTGGCAAAGTGCAGGGGGGACCTCCTGCAGTGGAACTTGACAGGGCCCTGCAGGGACGAGAAGGGGAGAGTTCAGCCAGAGGTGCAGCTGATTTTGTTACTCACATTTAGCTCTGGAGTGTGTGAACCACGGGGGGATGAGAACAAAGGAACCTCCAGAGGAGTCCCCACAAATGGGCTGAAGAGAAATGGTCACTGGAGAAAATGGCAGCACTGTGAACTGGACTGAGGTCAGCTCAGGCTCTGGAGGCTGCAGTGCTCAGCTCTGGACCTGGCACAGTTTGCAGCAGCTGTGGCAGCTCCTGCACACAGAATTGGCTGCAAACACAAAAATGTTTTCCCCCCAGACCCGAGGATGAAAGGAAGTGCATTTTGCTGAGGGAAGGCAGTGCCAGCCAGTGGGAAATGCTATCCCAGCCTGTTCCCAGGCTGCAGCCAGGAGGGAGGGGTGGGTACCTGTGGGAGGGCTCTGATGGAGGCGATGCCACAGCCCAGGTGTCCCCTGGGGCTCTCCTGCAGCCCCCTGAGGCAGCCCAGCAGCGCCAGCGCCCGCCGCAGGCCCGTGGCACTGCCAGGGGCAGCAGCCAGCACCAGCCCCAGGGGCCAGAACTGCACTTGTGCCTGCAGAGGCCACGCTGTGCCCACAGAACAGGGAGCTTTGGCCAGGGCAGCTCCAGGGGCTGGGAGCTCCTCTCCTCCTTCCCCCTCGTCCAGCTCTGCTGCTGCCAGCGCGGCCGCTTTTGCCTGAAAAAGACACAAGGACAATATTCTCACATGTCCTGGGCACAACTCAGGAGTGCAAAGCTGAGTCTATAAAGAGGGACTCTGGGAGGACAGCACACCCCAATTTCCACGCAGGTAAGGAATGAGTTTATGCTGCAGGATGAGCCAGAAGCAGCTGTGCAGCACCGGCATCTGCTCTTCAGCTGGAGAAGAGTTTTCTGGAGCACTGGGTTTGCAGTTCTCAGAGTTATTACTCTTTTCTCAGACCCTGAGAAGCCTCAGGCTCCTCCTCAGTGCTGTCCTGTCCCCCAGACTCACCTTCCACCTCCTCCAGCCCTGCTGGATGACGCGGGCAGCCCTGCGCAGCCTCTGGAAGCGACTCTTGGCCAGCCAGGAACGAACAGCTGAGGATTGGATGGGAGAAACCTGAGTGCAGAGAATCTCAGCAGCTCCTGCACACACTGGAGATGGCACTTAGCCACTCGTGCCACTGTAGCCCCCAGAGGGACTGGAGATGTCCCTTGCTCTGTTATTTCAGCCCCACCCCACAAGTCACCTGCTTGGATGAGAGTTGCAGAGCGTTTCTCCTTTGCTGTTTTCCTCTCTGTAAATCTTCTCCAGCAGCACTGGATGCAAAATGCCTTCTCATTTAACACCTCTGCTCTCCTGGCTTCCAGGAGCTCCAGCTGCAGTGGGGAACAGGAGCCTGGAGTTAGGGATGGGATTGTGCTCACAACTCTCCCCTCTTTTACATTCTCTTGGTGTTTGTCAGGGGACCACAGCCCCATTCCAGTGTCCCATGGCTGCTGGATTAGGCTTGGGAAGTGACAGCACTTCAGTGGTGCTTTTCAGGCAACATGGAAATGAAAATGGAAGTTCTTGGGAAGGAAAGTGGAGCTTCCCAAAGTCCCAGCAGCAGCAGGTTCATACCCAGCTCCACTGAAGGGGCTGATTCTAGGCAGCAAGCTTGGCAGAAGTGCCTTTGACTCCTTCCTCTCTTTCCCAAGGCCTGTGCAGCCAGATCTGTCATGTGGAGCTGAGGAAAGCTGCCATCTTTACTGGAATTCTGACACAAGTGCAGCTCCTTGTCCAACACAGAGGCCATTACACAATGTGCTTTGCAGATCTGGATTCTGATGGGTGCTTGATTGAGTTTAATAATTGGATGGAAAATGCCCAGTTCTGGTCACACTGGCTTGGCAGGAGCTCTGCCTCTGTCTGTGCCAGAATAGCCCTGAGGCAGGAGCACTCCAGAGGCATCAGCAAAGGAACAGCACTTACCAGGGAATTGGCCAGGAACACTTTGGTTTTGCCACAGTAGACTGAGGGGATTCCTGCTCCATCCCCTGCTGCCTGAGCAGGGGTTTGTCCCCTGACAGCATCCTGAAGGATCTCCAGCACAGCAGCACGTGGTGCTTTGTCATCACCCATCCCCGGAGTCTCACCTGGCAGTGAAACATCGAGGAGAAGGCATCACAAAATTTGGAAATTGGGGCCAGGGCATTGTCTTTGCACTGAGATTTCTTGGCCACTTAGAGGGGAAACACCTGCAGTACGAGGGGAGGAGGAGATGGCTGGGAGCACTTGATCTGGCTGTGTTTAAACTTAAAATGTGACAACACAGATTCCAGCAAGCAGAAAACCAGTGTGGGGTGTTTTAACTGGGCTGTGGTTGGGTGCTGCCTTCTCATCTGTTATCACCTCTGTTCTCCACAGGTAAAATTGTCATACCAGGGAGGGCTCAGGTGTTCTCCCATTCCAAGCTTCCCACATGGAAGCAGGAGAAAGCAGCAGCAATGCCATTAAGAATAGACTGAGCATCTCAGGCCTAAGAAAATCCCATTAAATACTCAAAACTCAAAGCTGTGGGAGCAAAGAACAAAAGGCAGGGAATTGTAGCCTTAATGTACTGAAAAGTGCAGGAAGGGGAAACAAATTCTACACAATTGTACAGCTGTCACAGGGCACTGGGAGCAGCTATGGGGTCCTGTACTGAGCAGGAATTTATGGCAGCAATTACAGGTTATTAAAGCCATTTCTGGGACACAGTGCACAATTTTATACATTACAAACAGGTCAGCCAGATGAATCTCTGTGGAAATAGAGATAGACTTAATTCAGAGCTGGAACAAGAGGTTGTTGCAGGAGTTCCTGCATGCACAGGGCTGGATGGGTTTTGCATCATTCCATCCTGGATACTGTTTGTTTTTCTGCTATAAATATTTCTAAGGAGATGAGAGCATTTTAAGGTCCTGAAAACAAATAGAAGCAATTCTTGCTTACAGGAAGACATCTGGTGGCTCTGATGATGTTCATGGGGCTGGGCTGATAAGGGAACCAAAAGCTTATCCCTGTGTTTGGGCAATTGTTTTGCTTTGTTTGCAGCTTATTACCCCCTCAAGATAAAAAGGACTAAAAACCCATCACAAAGAGGCTCTGCAGTTAATGGGTTTGTAATTGAGGGGGAAAGATACATTGTGTAAGTAATTTTCCAGCCTGCACATCCTTACTTCACCCCATTTCCACAGGATGAACAGATTTCCACCATTTTTTACTCATCTGACCAGGCTGCTCCTGCTTCCCACAGCTGCTGCTTGTTGAACTGACCCACTGGGTGAAAAAGGGGATTCACTGGGGGCACAGAAAGGGGCTGCAATAACCTTCAATATTTAATGTAACCACCTGAGGAGCTCCTCCTTTCAGGAGCTCATAGCAAAGGCATTACCTGTGGGCTGGATTGTGTTTGTTAAAGTCCATCCTCACTCTTGCTTAGAAAAAGAGAAGTTTGCAAAAGGTGGAAGAAGCAGCAGAGTCCAGGTAAGCTGGAAGGTCAGTGATTCAGCAAGGAAACAAGGGGGGGGAAGAAAGGAAAGAAAAGGAAAATAAAGCAAAAGGTAAGTAGTTTTCAAGTAGTTTTCTACTAAAGAATCAACTCTAAAATTATATTGGGTGAGGGGAACCCCAGACATGTCAGTAACTGTGGTTGTTCCACCCAGGAGGAGCACAGAAAACCAGCATTGAGGGGTAAGATTTTAAGTGTTAAGCAAATTAGAAACACAGGTTGGTGATAAGTTAAAGAATATTTTGAGAATGGTGGTGAATACAGTAATTCAGAAATTACCTGATCTGTGTGACACCAGATGGGTGCAGTGACAATTGTACTTGATGGCAGAGGGATTACCTGAAGAAACTCACCTTTTTTCTCAGCAGGATGAGAGTTGCTTTTATCCCACACTCTTTTTTTACTGGAGCCCCAGGATTTCCTCAGTAGTTCGTAGCGCTCAGTGAAACTTTGGAAAGGGATCCTGGGAGACAAAATGTGCAGTGAATTCCAGGCAAGAACCATTACTGTAAATAACTGATCCTTTTTGCTGAAGGGTAAATAACTTCTCCTCTGAAGGGGGAAAATTCCAGAATGGCTTTGTGGATCCAGTGCAGGATCTGAAATTCAGATTTCCCAGTAGCAGTAGCAAAGCCACGGCAGGAATTGTGCTTGGATATGCTGATGGTGCAA